ACACACACACACACACACACCTGGTAACACTACTGCTCAGACGTTCTTATCATATTGATGACCATGGGGAACTAAAAGACTAATTCAATATCGACCTTTGTGTGTATTGAAATGCTTAATGAGCTTCAGGACACCGATTCATTGTGAACTTGTCCTACAACTGAGCCTCTGGGTCTGCGTGGTGAACCTCCCCCTCCCCCATCCTCTTACTGGCTAATTATGTTTTTCTTCATATTAAAATACTTTATGGACACAGAGCAGGTTATAGTGATTGGTTGAACTTCATCCTGCTGACTTTTCTGAGGGAAACAAGGCATGTTGGACCTTGCAAACAAGATTGGGCATCTTGGTCAACATTGTACTATGAACATGGATTTTGGTATGATATTACTGTGGCCTGTTATTGATCAATGCGGAATTTAATTGGAAAAATTTATTGACCAAAGGAGTGAAGTGATAAAAACGCACAACTCCAGCCGCTGTCAGTAATTAACGCATCATTCTAGATTATTGAACTAATTATTGTATTAGGTGAACACCAACCAAAAACCCCTTTGTTTATGAATATGGGCATTTTTAGCAGGGATTTTTCTACTGCATCATTGGCATATAGATATATCAGTCATTCCTATTTACTGGTAAAATAATATTCCAGTCCAGCTCCAGTTGCAGTTGTAATATTATAAATATACATTCCTATTGTCTAATGTTACATAATGTCAGTCCATTTGGCTACCTTGCATTCCATTTCTATGTATCTTCAATGTAGATTGGAGGTGAGGACGCATGTATGAACAATGTGTTTAGAGCTTTAAGAATATTTTTAAAGAATGAAAAAAAAAAGAACTTCAAGTAAAATATGTCAAATTTTAACTTTCGTCGACCATCCAAAAGACGTTTTTTAAATTAAATTTTCGTCTTGCTCAAGAAACCATTTTGAATGTATTGTACATTTTGAATGAACTGTCAATAGATGGATTTTTTAACAAGAACTTAGCACTTAGGATTTTTTTTCGAAATTCCACCCAGGACTTGCAGTTCCACCTAAATTCAAAACATTTGCAATATTAGTTTGGATTATAGAGATGAGGTGGAATCATATTACAACATGAATATCAGCCAGATTCACATACATAAATGAGCCCAAACCTTATGACCACCCCCACATTACGTGAATAACGTTAACTATGTTGTTAAAAATAGCAGATTCATGGTCTGGGGTATTAGATGGTAAGCCAACATTCGGCAGTCAAAGTCAATGCGATGAATGCAAAAGAAATGGCCAGGGATAAAGATCTGAGTGACTTTGATAAGGGCAAGATTGTTACGGCCAGACAACTGATTCGGAACATCTCCGACTTGGCAAGGCTTGTGTAGTGCTCACAGTCATCTGTGATGAGTAGCAGTGCTCACAGTCATCCGTGGTGAGTATGAACTGAGAGTGGTCAGATAGGAGAAAAAACCAGGGTGTTAGGCAGCCAAAACTCGTCTATGACAGACGTGAACAAAGGCCGTTCCGTCTGGTATAAATCAACAGCAGGGCTACTGTGGCACAAATCACAGGTAATTTTAATGAAGGTCACTGGAGAAATGTGTCACAACACAATGCATCCAGTTCTGCTGTTTAAGGTGTTACGTAGCTGCGGATCAGACTTGTCAGTCCATCGCATCCCACAGATGCTTGACGCACACTGTCCACATGATGCAGCAGGGAACAGTCAGGGATTCTTCAGACCAGGTGACCTCCTTCCATTGCTCCAAGGTCCGGTTCCGATGCTTTCGTACCCGTTGTAGGTGCTTCTGCTGACAGACAGGGATTATCATGGCTACTCTGACTGGCCTGCAGCTACGTTTATCAGCGTATAGCATGTCAGTAATGAGGTAGACTTTGCAGTGCTGGGTTAGAGGAGGCAAATAAGTGGTATTATGGGAAAGAATGCATTTTTGATGCTGTAATGACCTGAAGGAACAATCTAAATTGTGACAATTAGTGCAGCTAGGAAAGCTAATCCAGCAAAGTGTGCTAACCGGCTAACCCAGCTAATGGAATCATGGCACTCAGTGAGATATCTCCTTGTGTGCTGGGTTAGCATAGCTTGTTATGTAAGGCCGACGAATTTGCGAGCCCTAAGTTTGCACTAAAAATATGAAGCAATTTTCCTGGGCCAAGACTAAAAAAGCTTTGTGTTACCGGAGAATTTTCAAATCTGGGAAAGCTCATTAAGGTGTTCAGGCGGCTGAGTGAGTAGTATCAACCTGCAGGGGTTGGGGGATTGAATAATTTACTGCTGGTTATTTCACACAGTGCAGAAAGACACAGGCACATGACCTGGTGCTTTTAATTCATTTTGCCTGCATTGTGTGTGCTCTGTAACGGACTGCGTCTTATCCTCAGTGTTTCTCTCCCACTTGGGATTCCAGGCTCATCCGGAACATGTACTGTATAAGTCAGTATGTGGAAGGACATATTAGACTGTGTTTAATATACTTTATTTTATTTTATTAATTGTAAAGTGAAATATACATTCCCCTTCATAAGAACTGCACCTTAAAATAATATTCAAATGATGTTTACCAAAGGTTTATATTCATAATAAATCACTCATTCACCCTTTAAATCATGTACTGTTGTTCTCCACACTTGATGACCTTAAACATGGTCTGACTGGTTCTTTCTCATATGGCGCCATCAGGATCGTTAGGTATAACCAAAGACGGAGTATTCTGGAAAAACACTGGGATGTGTCCTTGGCTGTAGAAGCTCAGAACACCTTATCTTTGTGCAGGGCCCCAGATGGGTCGGGACACTGAAACAAACCTCTACACCTTTCACAGATCCAGCAGTGCCCATCTTTTATTTTCTTTTGTTTCGTAATTATATTGTTTTATCTATTGTACATTAAAAATTAATCACTATGGAACTCAGATGTGAAACACTATAATGATGGTGTGTGGCCCATGAGTTAGACTATGCCTGTGATCAGAAGGTCACTGGTTCAAATCCCTGGGTTAGAAAAGTTATTTCAATATCAGGCCCTTGAGCAAGGACTTTAATCCCCAGTTGCTCCAGGGATGGACTGACGCTGTTTTCTCACTTATACGTTGCTTTGGGTAAAAGTGTAATGCAAAAGTCTTCAGCCAATGACATTTATTTAGCCCAGGTACAAGAGGAAGCAATATAGGAGCAGGAGCTACACAACACCTTCTAACAAAGCAAGAATCTAACAGAACTGTTCTATGATCATTTAGGGAACACGGAGCGGCATCAGGCTAGTAGAGGAATTCACAGAACACAATGAGAACCATACATAATGCACAACATACTCAACCACTGAGAATCACTCCATTTGTGTTCAAAATATAATACACATGTGCTCCCTTAGTCGATTATCTATATCGATGTTTCCAAATCTGATCCTCAGGGACCCGCAGACAGTTCATGTTTTTGCTCCCTTGTAGGGAGCAAAACCGTGGACCGTCTGTGGCTCCGAGGATCAGAGTGGGAAACACTGATCAGCATCACTGTGAAGCTTAGCTATTTACACTGCCTGCTGTATCAAACCAATTCCTGCATCTACAGCTGCACACCAGCCCCTCCCCCCATCAGGGACTGTCGAAGCTGATGAATGGGCAGCCTACTCTGGCCTGACCTTCTAACCATCCAATTAAATGTCTTGTTTCAGGGATGATGCTGTTCATTTGCCCTCACTTAGCAATATAATATGGATTACTGAAGCATTACTATTTCTATTCCAACTTTTGCCTAATACATGCTGCAAAGTTACAT